TAAACTTCTATTTCTGTTTTCCATACTTATTAGTGATAATGACAATGCAGAGAAGATACATTGTTTTTAAAGATAATTTTTTCAAAATGTCCTCATTTTAATACCCATACACATGACCACATAAAGGGACATATGAGATCTTTTAATCTCCCTCCTTAGTAGTCACATTGTAATTTCTCAGCAGGAAATAGAGAACAAAAGTCACCAATCATCTTTATTTTTTAGAAATGAGTTCAATGTTCTTACTATGGCAATGAAAGATAAAGCAGTTTAGTATTGATTTGTAATGTGGCTCTTTTAAAGTTTTTTATGCTATTTCCATATGCCACCAGATGGGCTTGCTGACAGTACATGATCCATCAAAAGAAAACCTCTTGATGTAAAGTAAGACTATGCATCCAGGCAAAGCTCTGTCCAATTGTATACTTGAGTCTGATTACAAATATGAGCACTAGAGCTTGAGAAGCAACAGCAGGGCTATGCTTTACAAAATGGCATTCCTTGATCCTTCTTAATTTAAGAAAGAGGCTATCCATCACCTTCTCCTGAGGGGAAAATAAGTACATGGTATTTAACTGACATAACTGGCAGGCAGTTAAAGTAATTGTTTTCTCTTAACCAGATGGGTTCTTTCCTAAGCAGCCATATACTGTTTTCAACCTCAGAGGACTGTCAATAAAATGGTCAGGTGACTTTCTTTAGTATAAATTATATGCCAAGTGTATGATATGGACACACAAGTATTTTCTCAGACCACATTCTTGTTTTTGTTTTTTTTTTCAGAATAGTTCAAGCATGATGTGTGTGTGAGTGTGAGTGTGTGTGTGTGTGTGTGTGTGTGTGTGTGTGTGTGTGTTTATCACAATCTAAAGATTTGGCGTTACAATACATGCTGAAAAAATTAATGTGGAAAAACTTCTATATCCCATTTAACAAGGTTCCAATAAAAACTGATAATTAATTAGTGTCTCATTCAGACTTGCAGTGCTGTGATAAAACTCCATGACGAAAAGCAACAAAGGGAGGAAAGGGTTTATTTCAGCTTATAATTTTAGGGAAGGAAAGTCAGGCCAAGTACTCAAGGTGGGAACTTGGAGGAAGAAACTGAAGCAGAAGCAATGGAGAGCTTCTTACTGTCTTGCTTCTTGTGGCTTGCTCAGACTGATTTTTTACATGCTCCTGGATCACCTCATGCCCAGGAGTACAACACCCATATTTGGCTGGGAACTCCCACATCCATCACTAATTATGAACATGCTCCCACAGTCTTGTTTACAGACCAGTCTTATGGAGACATTTCCTCAATTGTGGTCCCCTCTTTAAAGATACATCTAGGTTTATGCCAAATAAATAAAAAACAACCAGCACAAAACTCTATGTTCAGAGTCTAATTAGTTTCTAAGAATTTTGTTTGATGTTAAAGTCTGGTCCTGGTAATTCTCAAACTCATGGACAGACTTACATTTTGAAATATATCAGACATGCTGGGCATTAGTGGTACACACCTTTAATCTCAGCACTCGGGAGGCAGAGGCAGGCAGATCTCTGTGAGTTCGAGACCAGCCTGGTCTACAAGAGCTAGTTCCAGGACAGCCTCCAAAGCCACAGAGAAACCCTGTCTCAAAAAACCAAATATATATATATTTTGGTTTTTCTGATATATATATATCAGACACATGATACCTGTTTATACATAATACATGTTGCTTTAAAAATAAGGACAATTCTTTACTTTTTCTGTAAAATCCAAATTATTATTTGTGGATTTATTATTTTTGTTTATTGTTATTGTTATTCTTGTAATGTATTATTATATCAGTATGTGTTATGTAATATTCCAGACAAAATTATCATTGGTCAAATGTTCTGAATCCCATATATAGTCTTAGCAATTATCTCATTAGTGTCCACTACACTTTAGGATCAGGATGAGCTGTTTTTAATGTTTTTGAATACTTTCATAATGTTTTTTAAAAACAGTTTAATTAATTTCCAGTTATTAAGTTGTGTGTGTGTGTGTGTGTGTGTGTGTGTGTGTGTGCGCGCGCGCGCGCGCGCGCGCGCGCACGGGTGCGCACATGTGTATAAACATGAGCAAACACATACATGCTTGTGGAGATCCAAGGACGATTTACTGAAGTTGGTTCTCTCTTTCATATTTGTAGGTCCTGAGGTCACATTCAGATCATCAAGCTTGCTGGCAGTTTCCTTTATCTGCTAAGCCATTGTTCAGGACAAATTTTCTCCATGTTTGAATCCATTTGTTTACTCTATGGAGGTATATCACAGACATACTACTTTTTTGTCACAGGAAATGTAGTAATTCAGATCACATGGTTAAGGTCATGCTCCAGTGGTCCTTCACCACTATTGACTAATTGCTTCTTCCTCTTATAAATTACTTCAATAATTAAGTTATTTTAGATTATATAAATATTCATAAAATTAGTCTTTGTAAATTTTATTAACTTTCTATTCCTATTTTCAGATTCGTCTGTATTTGTATTTGTCATTTTCATTCTAAATATTCGATTTCATTTCTACTACATTGCCCTGTTTTACTGTCAGCTCATCAATTCCAGTTGCTTAGTCTATCAAACTCATCAGCATCCTAATTTTGATGTGAAAATTGATCCAGAATGGCATGTGAAGCACTCTTGAGATAATGTTATGTTCCTTGGTTTTGAAAGAGTTTAACGTCCTTTGAGATGGCTATAATCTTTTTAATTTTGACCCTAGAATTTAATGAGAAAGTACTCTGCAGGCTATGGAAAGAAAAACCTGGACAGCAACCCAAACAAAACCCTTCACCTGGAATCTGCCCTGGCTGCCTGCAAGATGTCCTGGGGTAATGATGATGCAGAATTTATGAGAATAGTTAACCAATATTTGGTTCAACTTGAGCTCCAATTCATGAGAGGAAACCAATGTTCTACACTCCCTTAAGGGTCAGGATCCAAAGAATGGATGGCCCAGTGACCTGGGGTAGAAAAAAACACCACTGAGGAAAAATTAATACATGGGATTTAACTTACATTACTGGCTGGCAGGCAGTTAATCATTTTGGCTTAACCAGTGGGTTCTTTCCTAAATGGCCATCTACTGTTTTCAGCCTCAGAAGCCAGTCAATAAAATGGTCAGGTGACTTCCTTTAGCATGAGGATTTTTGCCTGCTCATATTTCATATTGTTTTCTCCCATTTGTCCACTGTCTCTTGGAGGTCTGATACTTTCTGAAAGGAAACAGAGTGGAAGTGGGTCTGGGGAAGAGGGTGGGGTGGAGGGAATCCAGGAGGATTTGAGGCAAAGAAAACTGTGGTCCAGATGTACTGTATGAGACAAATATCTATTTTTTTATGAAGTCTGCTCCTTTATTTCCTTTTTAAATATTTTTGTATCTATTTTCAATAAAATTAAAACTAAAATAAAAGATGGATATAGTCTGGAGCCATCATGTTTGTTCCCAGGGAAAGTATAGTGTGTTATATTTTCACTGATGAGTACTAGTACATTGAAAACGAGAATTTCATTTTCACTGTTATATTTCAATGCTATACTGTTCTCTCCCTTGGAAGTTCTTCAGCTGTTTTGGGGTCTACATATACAAAGGAGCTAAGGAATACCAGAATTTTAGATATACTGTTGGCTTTATGCATTCATTATTTGTCTCCTCTTCTTCCTACATCTCCATTTTCTCTGTTGTTAAATTGCTCTGTCACTCTTTCCCACTCTTTCTGTTTCTTTATTTTCCTGGTCTTCCTTTTTGTAATGAAATTCCACAGTGTATACCATATTTCTTTCTTACAAGTTGTTTTGACTGATTTTCATTACTGAGAGACCTGCCTGCTAAATCATGAAAAGACTCATTCCTTGGCTCTGCATGTAGCATAATGACAAGAAAGTCAGCATTGCTAACAAAGACTGGTGAAGAAAGTTATAATGGTTCATCTCAGCTGTTAAGGTGATGATCTCAAATCATCTTGAAAACTGGTCTCCTGGCATAGTCCTGGGAAATTCTCTTTATTATTTAGTTGAGATTGGAAGTCTGCATTCTGTGAACAGAACTATTGTCCCGCCCCCGTGGGCTGAGATTCTGGATAATAGTTTAAGAAGAAAGTATGGAGAGTACAGTGTTCTTGGTTTTCAGCATGGCTACAAACACAGTGACCAACTGACTCAAATCTCTGCTGTTTTGACTTCCCCGTCATGATAGATTGAGCCCAAACAAACATTTTCCTTTCAAATGGCTTCTATTTGGTATTTTATCACAGAAGAAAAGAAACTAAGACAGAGGCAAACATAATAACTAATGTCAACTTTTGTTTACAGTTTTGTTTTGGCATTTCATATACAGTATGTGTGAAATATTAAGTAAATAATTTGATGAGTAGTCAATAAGTTATGCTTATATAAAATATACATACACCAAGATTCATATTTCATAATGACAGAAATTGCTCCTGAGTTGTCATTTTATAAGTTCTATAATTCTCAAAGTTATATGACACTTCAAATCTTGTTAACTGCTCCTAATAACAATTTTTTATTCTTTCTTGTTTTCTACATCTAAAGGTATTATCTTTATTAAACTTCATTGAACAAAGTGATCAAAATCTAGACAACTAAAACAGAAAAGGAAAAATTAAATATGACATTGGAATTCTAAGTATTGCTAAAATGGATAGCTAAAAACCATAAATTATGATTTCACTTCTTTATACAGATTGAACATAGCTCATAGGGACATTTTATAGAAGTGACATTTTACCTTAACTTATAAGCCATCAATATCCCTACTAATCAGTATTACTCATAAACAATCATAGTTTTGGTAAGGTGTTTCTTTTATAAGAAAGTTATTGAATAGCCTAAATAAAGACAGAATATAGTTTTTACAAATCATGAATATTCATGATATCATAGTTATATATAATCATGAAATTTTATAGTATGAATTAGTTGCGGATGTTTATTTCCTAAAATTTATATTTCTGACAGGCTATAATTAGCTCAGGTGAGTTTCTATGATCAAACAGGTACTTTGCCCAGGGTGTAGCTTGTCCTTGCTCTCAGGATGTTCTGATCTCTGATATTCCCCAAGTGCAAGAAACTAAGTACTTACTTTTTGCAGTAGGGGACTCTATTTGAGTGTTCCTTTGCAAACTGTGTAATAATGTGATATGTGTAATACATATAATACATGGAGAACATGGGTTATCTATCCAAAATATTATGAGGCTGAATTTAAAATGTTTTATCTGAAAGCATTAGGAAAATCTCTCTGCATCCAACTGAAATTCTCCTGCAAAATTTAGCAGTTTTCAGATATGACCTGAGGTCTCTATTCCCCATCCTGCCTCTGCAGTCAGCTCCTAATGAAGCTAAACTCCTAAAGACTCATCTGGTACTGCATTTCCTATCTTCAATAACCATTGAATACTTCTCATGATTTCCACCACTAATTTCATCTACCTTTGATTTCTAATCTGGAAGGTCTCACATTACTATGTTGGGCTTATCCATATACCCCTTCAAAATAAAGCTAATTGTTTTCAGGGTTTACTTACTTCAAAGCTCCCCATAATACCAGCTAGCTTAAGGTTTGATTGAAAATGTACATAGAGCCTGGGGAGTTTGTGGTTATACCTCAAAATAATGCCTACCTCAAAACATATTAGATTACTTTACTCTTCTATATGTTAGAAATACCACCTCATTCTTTCTTCCTTATTTGTTTAATAAATGCAGAATATATTGTAATGATAACTCTTTCTGCCAGGTGCCTCGGTTCTGCTGCTGCTTTAGGACCTACAAATAACACACAGAGACTTAATATTAGTTACAATGCTGCTGGCCAATGACTAGGATTTCTTATTTGCTAGCTCAGTCTTAATTATCAACCATAACTACCAATCTATGTATTTTTATAAGGACTTATCTTACCTAGGATGCCGGCCTTATGTGTCCTCTCTTCCTGGGATAACATGGCAACGATTCTCCCTTTCCCAATTTCCCAAAATCCTCCTTCTCTCCTAGTCCTGCCTAACTTGCTTCCCTATTGGCCAACAGTGCTTTATTCATCAGCCAATAAGACAAACATATTCACAGAAGGACCTCCCCCATCAATATATAAGTATTAAAGTGATAGTTTTTTTCACATATTAAAGCAACATTGAATTCCAGTGATAAAGAAAGCATCGTTTACAAACGTTATTTTTGTTTCTGCTGCTGTCCTTCTATTAAGTTTTTGTGCTCAAGTTTTAATCAAAGAAATTATGTTTTCCTTCTTTACACTTGGTGTCAGCTAGAGGGCTGAGAATTAATTATTTGTTTTACATAAAAGATTGGTTTCTGCATACAAAATAAAAGAGATGCTGAATATAAATCACTCTGTTACTAGATTCTTCATTCATTTTTATTCCATTTCCCAGGACAAATGGAGGAAGAGGTGTATATATTGAACATTATTTCACATTTGTAGTGTTCACAGAATTACCAGTGAAGTTACATGCATTTGAAAAGGCATTGTTTTGGATAGGTATCTTTTAACAGTGCCTATAGTTTGTAAAATAGTATAAAATGTTTAATTTTTATTTTACCTTTAAATTTAACTGTTTTAGAAATGTCATATGAGGTCATTATTTTACATTAAAATATCTATTAATATCTTTTGGCTAGTGTGTTACAATGGGTTTATCAGCAAACCAAAAATCAAGAACATATCAATCTAAATCTATCTGACTTCTTTGTTCTGTTGGTTTTAGGAAGTAGCTTACTCAAGTGTGCTTTTCAGTAAGTCTAAAATCTGTGGGTAATTTGCACACTTGGAGATCCATGTGTGAGTTGATGTTGTAGTAGAAACAGGTCAACATTAGATAGATCCAAGTGGCAGATCTCTGGCAGTTTCTACATTGCAGTACTGAGGCAGGATTGGTTTGCTTTAGAAATACTAAGTATTTGATACCATCCATTCAACATACAGTATAAAGATGAACAATATTATGAAGAGTGGTCCACTTAACATAAAGTCTTTATCCAATTGAGGATAATGCCTGGTTATACCTTAAGCAAATATGAGCATTTTCTTCTTTTTCCTTTGAGACAGTCATGAATCCCAAGTTTATCTCAGACTCACTATGTATTTAAAGATGTTCTTGAAGACCAGATGATCAATTTCTATCTCTGCATGCTGAAATGACAGGTGTACTCCTGCATATATAAATAAACATTTAAAAATATTTTGAATTTATTTATTTATTGTTTTTATTTGTATAAATGTGGCTTCATCAATTTCCTTCTCTCCATTCCCCCCTCTCTCTTCCTGCTTCCTTCCCTCACCTTTTTTTCTGAAAGAGAGATGGTATATTTATGGAAGTCAGAGAACAACATAAAAGACTACTTCTGTTCAAAGTGTGAGTTTCAGAGTTTGGACTCATATTGTTAGGCTTGGCAGAAAGTGTTTTAAAATGTTGAGATACCTTGCAGGCTTTTTCCATGTACATTTGAACACTACATGGTTTCCTATTGCTGTTGAGATCAGAAGTGGGTGTAAGGCCCAAGAACTGAAGCTATGAATGGTTGTGAGCCACCATACTGGTAATCAAACCTTGGTCTTCTGCAAGAAAAAATGAGTGTTCCTAACTGTTGAGCCATAGCATCAGCCCAAATTTACAAGCTTTCTCATCTGGGTATCTAGTGATATTCTGACTGGCTGCAGTAATACTATGATATAGATAGTTATTTTGATATATTTGCTGTCCTCATTTTTGCAGTTTCACAGTTCAACTAATATTATGCATCAGAGAATTGTTCATTAAACAATTTACCTTGTATATAACCTATAGTACTTAGAAAGGAAATAATAAAACTTCTTACTTTATTTACCAAAATCAAAAGTTAACTCACATCACTATTTACATTAGTATTCACTTTTACTCTTCAGTTTCATATTACCAGTGTCTCTCTGCCTCCTAGAATTGGCAAACAACCTATAAGAGCCTTTAATTATTATTGCACTTTTACTTATCTTATTTTTGTCTCTGACAGTTATTTTCAGTTTAATAGTGTTTTTGTTTTGTTTTAATGTTTGGATATATTGTTTTTCTTTT